TTTTGCTCCTTGGGGAAAACAACACCTAGGTTTGTCAGTTTGTGCACAATTCTTTCTTTCCTTTGTACCTCTATCTTAGATCGTTTTTTTTTTTTTTTTTTAGACAGGGTCTCACTCTCTCCTCCAGCCTGGAGTGCAGTGGTATGATCATCTAGCTCACCGCAGTCTCCACCTCCTGGGCTCTAGTGATTCCCCAGACTCCGTTCCCCAAGTAGCTGGGATTACAGCCCCGCGACACCACACCTGGATAATTTTTTTGCATTTTTCTTATAGAGACAGGACTTCACCATGTGGCGCAGCCTGGTCTAAAACTGACTTGAAGTGATTCACCCACCTCGGCCTCCCAAAGTGCTGTGATTACAGGCATGATCCACCATGCCCAGCCTATAATCCTTTATATATTTTTTTCTTTTTTTGAGACGGAGTCTCGAAAACCCAGGCTGGGGTGCAATGGCAAGATCTCCGCTCACTATAACTCCACCTCTCAGGTTCACATGACTCTCCTGCCTCAGCCTCCCAAGTAGCTGGGCTTACAGGTGCATGCTACCACAACTGGCTAATTTTTTATATTCTTAGCAGAGATGGGGTTTCGCCATGTTGGCCAGATTGGTCCCCAACTCCTGACCTCAAGTGATCCACCCACCTCAGCCTCCCAAAGTGCTGGGATCGTAGGCATAAGCCACGGTGCCCAGCCTACAATTCTTTACATTTAATATTGTTAGGCCTGCTGTGCCTGGAGGTACATAGATGCCTCTTGTCCTGAAATAGATCCCTTATTAAGAAGTCAGAAGTCATCTCAGAGAGTCCGAAGGAAGAGGTTGTATGAGGAGATGGTATGTAAATCTCTCTCTTTACAATTGCAGTAAAATACACATAACATAAAATGTAACATCTTAACCGTTTTTTGGTTTGTTTTTTTTTGAGACGGAGTCTGATTCTCGTCTCTCAGGCTGGAGTGTAGTGGTGCCATCTCAGCTCACTACAACCTCCACTTCCTGGGTTCCAGTAATTCTCCTGCCTCAGCCTTCTGAATAGCTGGGATTACAGGTGCCTGCCACCATGCCCATGTAATTTTTGTGTTTTAGTAGAGACGGGGTTTTGCCAGGCTGGTCTTGAACTCCTGAGCTCAAGTGATCTGCCCGCCTCGGCCTCTGAAAGTGCTGGGATTACAGGCGTGACCACCACGCCCGGCTGAATTAACAGTTTTTAAGTGCACAGCTCAGTGGCATCAAGCACATTCACACTGTTGTGCAACCATTACCATCATCCACCTCCAAAATGTTCTCATCTCCCCAAACAGAAACTCTGTCCCTATTCGACAGTAACTCCTCGTCTCCCCTCTCCCCATCCCCGGCACCCAGCATTCTACTCTCTGTCTCTGTGACTCTCACTGTGTCTTTCTGTGACCAGCTGATTTCACTGGGCATAACGTCCCAAAGCTCATCCCTTCACATGTCACGTGTGTCAGAGTTTCCTTCCTTTCAAGTCTGAATCATGCCCCTCTGGATGTGGCGCCACAGGTGTCAATGCACACTTGGATGGCTTCCACCTTCTGGCTCTCGTGAGTAAATAACGCTGCTGTGAGCATGCCAGGCAAGTATCTCTTCAAGACCCTGCTTGTCAGCCAGGCACGGTGGCTCACGCCTGTAATCCCAACACTTTGGGAGGCCGAGGCAGGCGGATCACCAGAGGTCAGGAGTTCGAGATCAGCCTGGCCAACATGATGAAAACCTGTCTCTACCAAAAATACAAACATTAGCTGGGCATGGTGGCACGCACCTGTAATCCCAGCTACTTTGGAGGCTGAGGCAGGAGAATTGCTTGAACCCGGGAGGCGGGGGTTGCAGTAAGCCAAGATTGTGCCACTGCACTCCAGCCAGGGTGACACAGAGACTCAGTCTCAAAAAAGAAAAAAAGGAAAAAGGCCCTGCTTGCAATTCTTTGGGTGTAAATCTAGAAGTGGAATTCTGCATTGTATCTTATGGGAACTCTAGTTTTTTTTTTTTTTTTTTTGGGGACGGAGTTTCGCGCTTGTTACCCAGGCTGGAGTGCAATGGCGCGATCTCGGCTCACCGCAACCTCCGCCTCCTGGGTTCAAGCAATTCTCCTGCCTCAGCCTCCTGAGTAGCTGGGATTACAGGCACGTGCCACCATGCCCAGCTGATTTTTTGTAGTTTTAGTAGAGACGGGGTTTCACCATGTTGACCAGGATGGTCTCCATCTCTTGACCTCGTGATCCACCCGCCTCGGCCTCCCAAAGTGCTGGGATTACAAGCGTGAGCCACCGCGCCCGGCCGGGAACTCTAGTTTTATTGACTGATTGATTGAGACAGAGCTTCACTCTATCACCCAGGTTCGAGTGCAGTGGTGTGATCTCAGCTCACTGCAACCTCTGCCTTCTGGCTTCAAGCAATTCTCTTGCCTCAGCCTCCCGAGTAGCTTGGAGAGGTGCACACCACCACGCTTGGCTAATTTTTTGTATTTTTGGTAGAGACAGGGTTTCACCCTGTTGGCCAGGCTGGTCTCAAACTCCTGACCTCTGGTGATCTACCCTCCTCAGCCTCTCAAAGTGCTGGGATGACAGATGTGAGCCACTGCCTGCCCGGTCTTGTTTTAACTCTTTGAGGACCCGCATGCTTGTTCCCACAGAGGCTGCCCCATCTTCCATTCCCACCAACAGTGTGTGCATGTAAATGTCTTTGCGGGAGATCAGTACCCACTGCTTCTCTGCACCTCTCTCCTTTTACCTCTCTCTCTAGCTTTCTGAGTGACCTCCAACTGTCACTCTGACCTATTTGCAGCTCAGGATCCCCAGGGCAGCTGGAGTGATTGCATTTCAGATACTGCACGTGGGTGTGCCTGCCGTCTTGCATTTAAAACTTCCCATTGCTCTTGGGATCAGCCCCAGATCCTTATAGGACTCACCTCCGCCCCCTTCCTTCCTTAGCCTAACCTGGTTCAGCTGAATAAGGCCACTGGGTTCCACCTCCAAGGCCCATACTTCCTTCTTTATCACATGCAGTTCCCTGGCTGGGGCACTGCCCTCACAGTCCCACGCCCCTTCCCTCATCGGGCATCCCATAGACCTCAGGGAGGGGCCCCCGACTGTGTTTACCATTCTCCTCCCGCCCCCAATCAAGCAGGTACTCTGGTTCCAGCGCTTGCTCATAATAAGTTCCTTGCCTCCCAAACATTTATCTCTGTTCGCATGCACATATTCAAGACTGAGAGATGAGATTAATACCTATTTCAGCCCCAGATTGGAGCGTGGGTAAGGGAAGCTCCTGCCTTAGACAGATCTAGTCTTCTGTCTACACTTGCACCAATTCCTCACTGGATTTACCACAGCTGTGACTTGATTTTACTTTTACTAGGATGTGTCTTTGATTTATGTCTGTAATTCCCCCTCGACTATCAGCTCCACCAGGGTGCGGACTGTGTCTCCTTTCCCACCCTCAATAATTCATAAATGAGGGAAATATGGAAACTGCACTGCCTTTTTAGGGGAACCTGAATTATCGAAGGAGGACCAGGCTACTGAAGTCCTAAAGGGATCCCAAAGAAGCCCATGTTTGTCACTCCCTGTTTTCAGCTAAGATTTATCTGTGGGGCATTTGTAGCCTTGGTGCCTTGCCTGGGTCTAGAGCATTGAATGAGTGAATGAAGGGCTCCAAAAGGAAAGAGTGGGATAGGCTGGGGGCAGTGGCTCGTGCCTGTAACCCAGCATTTTGGGAGGCTGGGCTGAGGTGGGAGGCTGCTTAAGCCCAGGAGTTGGAGACCAGCCTGGGTAACATAGTGAGACCCCATCACTATAAAAAACTTAAAAAATTAGCTGAGTGTGGTGTCTCATAGCTGTGGTCCACTACTTGGGAGGCCGAGGTGGGAGAATCACCTGAGCCCAGGAGGTCAAGGCTTCAGTGAGCTATGACTGTGCCACTGCACTTCAGCCTGGGTGACAGAGACCCTGTCTCAAAAGAAAAAGAAAAGAAGAAAGAAGAAAAGGGAAGGAAGGGAGGGAAAGAGGGAGGGAGGGAGGGAGGGAGGAAGGAAGGAAGGAAAGAAGGAGGGAGGGAGGGAGGGAAGGAAGGAAGGACAAGAAAGAGAGAGAAAGAGGAAGGAAGGAAGGAAGGAAGGAAGGAAGAGAGGGAGGGAGACAAGGAAGGAGAGACGGAGGGGGAAGGAAGGAAAGAGAGGGGATCAGGGATTCCGGGATTGATCTCAAGTGGTCTTCAGTTAAGTAGAGTATGAGGACCTTTAATCTAAGGGCTTAAGAATGATCAGTCCTGGCATGGTGGCTCACAGGGTGCTTTGGGAGGCCGAGGCAGATGGATTGCTTGAGGCCAGGAGTTCAAGACCAGCCTGGTCAACATAGCAAGACCCTGTCTCTATAAAAAGTAAAAAAAAAAAAAAGAAAAGAAAATAGCTGGGCATGGTGGTACTTGGGAGGCGGAGGCAGGAGGATCACTAGAGCACAGGAAGTGGAAGTTGCAGTGAGCTATGATTGTGCCACTACACTCCAGCCTGGGAGTTAGAGCAAGACCCCATCTCAAAACACAAACATATGTATTACATATAATACTCATATATTTTATCTATGTATGTATGTATCTATCTCACACGTTAGGGTTGGGGGCCCGAGTGGTTGGGCCGGGGAGACTGCTGAGGTCATCCGTCCCTTTCTCCAGTGGCCCAGGCTCAAAAGTTTCCGGCTGGGTATTTCAGGGGTCCCCTGTACCCCCGGATGGAGGAAAGGCGGCTGCGTGCAGCCCCGCGGGCAGGGGGCGAGGCCCGCCAGCCCAGCCAGCCCAGGCCTTGCCCCCGACCCCGAGCTGGCGCGCGCAGCGTGGGCTGCGCTGGGCGGGACCGGCGGGCGCGGCGCGCGGGGGGCTGGGAGGCTCCGCTCCGCGCCGGCGCGATCTGGCCCGGGTTTCCGCGCCCGCCCCGCGCCCCGGCCTCCCCGCCCCCCGCGCCGCCGCCGCTGGTGCCGCCGCCGCCGGAGGCCGCTCGGAGCCGCGCGAACATGGCCGAAGTCGGCGAGGACAGCGGCGCCCGCGCCCTGCTGGCGCTACGCTCTGCGCCCTGCAGCCCTGTGCTGTGCGCCGCGGCCGCCGCCGCCGCCTTCCCTGCGGCCGCGCCCCCGCCGGCCCCCGCGCAGCCCCAGCCCCCGCCCGGGCCGCCGCCACCGCCGCCGCCGCCGCTGCCTCAGAGCGCGATCGCCGGCGCGGGCTCCTCTGCCGGCTCCTCCGGGGGCTCCTCCGGGGGCTCCGGGGACGCCGCGGGCTCTGGGGGTGCCGGGGACGAGGGCGCGGCGCCCGCCCTAGTGGCCGCGGCGGCCGCCTCGGTGCGGCAGAGCCCGGGGCCGGCGCTGGCGCGGCTGGAGGGCCGCGAGTTCGAGTTCCTCATGCGCCAGCCCAGCGTCACCATCGGCCGCAACTCCTCGCAGGGCTCGGTGGACCTAAGCATGGGCCTGTCCAGCTTCATCTCGAGGCGCCACCTGCAGCTCAGCTTCCAGGAGCCGCACTTCTACCTGCGCTGTCTCGGCAAGAACGGCGTCTTCGTGGACGGGGCCTTCCAGCGGCGCGGCGCACCCGCCCTGCAGCTGCCCAAGCAGTGAGTGGCCCCCGCGATCCCCGCCACCCGCACCCAGGGCTCACCCCTGACCTCGATCTCTGCGGCCCTCCCCAGCTCGAACCCCTCCCCGCCCCCGTAACCCCCGACCGGCCTGGATTCCGTGGTCGACCCCGACCCCCGCCTCCTGGGCCTCTGGGGTCACCACGACCACGATTCTTGCGGCCCAGGCCTGAGGCTCCCCCTCCACTTTCCCCGGCCTGGACCCCCTGGTCGCCCCCCAACCCCCACCGACCTAGACCCCCGGGGGTCAACTCGGACCTCCTGTCTTCTGGACCCTTGTGGTCACCCCAGACCCCAATCCCTGCAGCCTGGACTTGGGGATCCTGGTCGCCTCCGACCTCCACCGGCCTGGATTCTGGGTTCAACCCTGGCCCACATCTCTGGGGCCCTGGGGTCACGCCTGACCTCAACTCTCACCGTTCTGTGCTCCTGGAGCTACCCCTACCCCAACCCCAACTGGTTGGGCCTCTGAGGTCACGCCTGACCCAGATCCCTCCTGCCCACGACTCCCACCAGCCTGGACTCCGGGTCATTCTGAACCCCCACCGGCCTGGATCCCTGGGGTCATCTACATCCCCACCCAGTCTAAACACCTGAGGTCAACCAGAACCCCCACTTCCTAGGCACCCCGGGGTCACCCCTGACTGCTAACCCCACAAGCCTGGACTTGAAGGGCCACTCCCACTCCTTTTCCCCACTCCTGTTCCACCCAGCTGAATCAGTGAGGTCACCCTGGACCCCCACCGGCTTGGACTTTAGGGTCACCACAGCCTGGCCTGTTTCTCAGGACCACCCCCTATCTCCACCACCCAGAGCCTCGAGTCACCCTAGTGCCTATCCCTGCCACCCTGGAACCCAGTGGCCATCCTGACCCTGTCTGGCCTGCCCTGGGCCACCCCTACCCCATCCTGTCTGGGTCCTGGGGACCCCAGTGCAGTCACACAGGAGGGTGGGAGATTGTTACTGTGGGAAGTGTGAGGTCCCCAGGAGCTTGGGCTGTGCTGAAGGGACAGAGGCCTGGTGGGGAGGGGCCAGGACACGAACCCCGGGCCTCAGTTTACCTCACCAGTGAGTACTCCTCAGATGGAGTAGCGGGACCAGAGCTCCAATTAGATTCCCGCAGGCCCGAGGTCACCGGGGACAGAGAGACCCAGCTGGGCCTGGATGGCTGCCCAGGCCTGTCGTGCCTTTTCTCAGCATCCCAGGGTCACCTCCCACCCATTCCGGTTCCCTCCTTTCCAGCACCCCACCCTCTGCTCTGCCCCGACCTCAAGGTCTGTTGATCAGGAGAAAGCCTGTTTAATTACTCATTTCCTCTGGAGCCACTTTCTTTTTCTATTTAGTGATTGCCTGTAACTCATCACCCATGTTTATATTTCTTCAATGTGGTTCTTGTTCAAGGATTGTCTGACTGTCTAATTACTCCCTTTTATAAGCGCCTTGAATGGGGTTGGGGAGGGTGGCGGGTCGGGGAGGATTTTTGCTGGGGTAATTTCCAGGACCCAAAGTTTGTGTCTGTAAACTTACAAACCTGTGTCTGTTTGGTTACAAATATGATATTGAATAATTTGAAATGCAACATCAACAATGACTCACTCCCACTTAGGAGTGAGAGGGGAAGTATACCTTCATTTTCCAACCATGCCGAAAGGTGTGCATTTTGGTAGAATCAGAACTCGGGAGATAACAAAGTTGTTCTTTGCCTCAGTTATTACTCTGCTCTCTCTTTTCCATAACCTACACACTCTCTCCATTTGGGGCCATTAATGCATTTCCTGGCCAGTCTCCCCTCTGGTAAGAAAATGACAGGTGGGCTCCCCCAGGACCCCCTTGGAGCCATGCTTTACAAATGCACCTTTATATAATTCAGATTCTCTGAGTGCTTCCATTAAACAGTCTTGTTTTCAGTTTCCCTTCCCAGCCGTGGAAACAGGTACACTCCCGAGTCAGACGCAGCTTTAGTGACTCTTGAAGGAGGCTTTCACAGTATTTTTTTTCTAGCTCAAGGGGAAAAAAATTCGACCTGAGATTGTCACTGAATAGGCCAGTAACAAGTCTGTTATTTATGAAATGTTATCAGTGTATGCAGTCCCTGCACATTTATGCTCCAGGGAGCCCGTGTTCTTAGTGGGTACATTATAGGGCATCGTGGCAGAGCTGTCAGGCTAAACAGATGCCCGCTTGCTGACTTGGTGCATTAGATGTGCGTGAAGTGCTCAGCCCACTGTGCCTGTCTGTTTTTATTTGACTTCACCTGCACATGTGAGCAATATCTATGTAGGCAGCAGTGTAAAATTTACAAGAACAGAGCAGATGTGCAGAAGGAAAACATTAAATGGATGTCCATGTCCACCCACCTAGAGAAGAGCTCTTTGCTGCTGCTGCTTGTTTTGTTGTTGTTGTTGTCGTTTTGAGATGAAGTCTCTTCTGTTACCCAGGCTAGAGTGCAGTGGCGCAATCTTATCTCACTGCAACCTCTACCTCTGAGGTGCAAGCGATTCTTGTGCCTCAGCCTCCTAAGTAACTGAGATTACAGGCGTGCGCCACCACTCGGCTAATTTTTGTATTTTTTAGTAGACACAGGGTTTCACCACGTTGGCCAAGCTGGTTGCAAACTCCTGACCTCAAGTGATCTACGTGCCTCAGCCTCCCAAAGTGCTGGGATTACAGGCGTGAGCCAACTCGCCCAACCGTAAAGCTGTTTGCTTCTGAAAGCTGCCAAAGTCTATCAACAAAAATGTTTAGTTCAAGCAGTTTCATTTTTTTTTTTTTTTTTTTGAGATGGAATCTTGCTCTGTCTCCCAGGCTGGAGCACAGTGGCACGATCTCAGCTCACTGCAAACTGTGCTTCCTGGGTTCAAGCAATTCTCCTGCCTCAGCCTCCTAAGGAGCTGGGACTATAGGCACGCCTGGCTAATTTTTTGTATTTTTAGTAGAGACAGGGTCTCATCGTCTTAGCCAGGATGGTCTGGATCTCCTGACCCCGTGATGTGCCTGCCTCAGCTTCCCTAAGTGCTGGGATTACAGGTGTAAGCCACCAACTCATTTTTAAAAAAAATTTTAGAAAACTTACTCGTAACTAGTCACATATGTTAGAACAGGCTGTCATAAACTTCTTTTCGGTTAAAGATTCTTAAGCCTGGCCAAGTGCGGTAGCTCATGCCTGTAATCCCAGCACTTTGGGAGGCCAAGGTGGGTGGATCACTTGAGGTCAGGAATTCAAGACCACCCTGGCCAATATGGCAAAACTCCATCTCTACAAAAAATACAAAAATTAGCTGGGCATGGCTCACGCCTGTAACCCAGCTACTTGGGAGACTGAGGCAGGAGACTCCCCTAAACCTGAGAGGCAGAGGTTTCAGTGAGCTAAGATCATGCCACTGCACTCCAGCATGGGTGACAGAGCAAGACTCCCTCTCAAACAAACAAAAACAAACAAACACAAAAACCATGATTCTTAACCCTGTTACATTAAAAGTCATTAAGAAATTTTAAGGAATTCAGAGCAAGAAAGTTAGATGCATAAGTTTTTGTCACCCCTGAGTGAGAAATTCATCACCAAATGTCAAGAATTACTGTGTCTGTTTTCTCTTGGGCTTTGGTACCTCTATTGCCATTGCTGTTGGAAGTTGTGAATTTCTTTACTGTAAACTACAAATTCTCTTGCTGCGTTGGAGTGTGATTGCCTTGAGCGTGCTTGGATTTGCTGGGAAGTCCATGTTGTGTTGGTGCTCACACCATTTTCCGAAGCTATGTCGTCCCAGGCCGCCCTCTTCACCTTGGATCAGGTGCATGTAATACACACTCTCTGTACACCTCCCATCCAGGAAGGATACCAGAATTCACCCCTAGTCGTTACTGGAAGTATATAATTCAAAATCTTCAACATTCTTAATTATTGGCGGGAAAAATGGCTTGTGACCCAGCTTAGAGCTGATCTTGGTCTACTGGGTATCTGACGCTGTGTGTGGTGGGTGAGCATGTCGCCAGAGCTCCCAGGCACAGGAGAGTGTGTGTGGATTCTGATTCAGGCTTGCTTGGTGTTGACTTGGAGGCACTGCCTGGGTCTCCGTGGTAGCGTGTCTTCTAAACCATAAGCTCCCTGTGGCTGGGGCCGAGAATTTACAATCTTTCCCCAGAGACCTGGTGCAGGCACTAGCTGGCATTAGGTACACAACAACTGAGTTCTGTTTGTCAAGTGAACAAATTAATGGACTAATGAATTTTCAGCTTCCATAGGAGAAAAATAACATCATTGATTTAGCCTGGTGTCCTAAAAGGACCAGCGAGCATGTCGTGGGGGAATTCAGATAGCCTTCTTCCATTATGGGGAGAGGGGTGTGAGGTGTGTGTGCACATGTGTGTATGCTGTCGTCCTTGATGCCACTTAATTTTTTTTTTTACATAGTGAATGTACCAACTGAATTCTTTTTTTGTTTTTGTTTTTGTTTTGAGACAGAGTCTCATTCTGTCATCCAGGCTGGAGTGCAGGGGCGGGATCTCAGCTCACTACAACCTCTGCTTCCCGAGTTTAAGCAATTCTCCTGCCTCAGCCTCCCAAGTAACTGGGATTACAGGCGTGTACCATCACGCCTGGCTAATTTTTGTATTTTGTTTTTTTTTTTAGTAGAGACAGGGTTTCACCATGTTGGCCAGGCTGGCCTCAAACTCCTGACCTCAGGGGATCCACCGCCTTGGCCTCCCAAAGTGCTGGGATTACAGGTGTGAGCCACAGCACCCTGCCAATTTTGGCTTGATGCCACTTAATTTTGAATTTCAATTACCCAATTCAAAATTCAAAAAATGTGCTTTATTCATGAACCTAAGAGACCCGACCATATCCCATACTTGCTCTCCCCTCTTTTTCTGCAGCCTTTTTCCCCAGTATTTTTATAGTAAATGTAGATTACTTGAATAATTACAGTGAGAACAAGACTTCTGTTTGTGATAACTTTCAGTGGTAAGAGTCATATGGGTAT